ATTTATTTCAGGGATGAACGCCGTGCAGCCCACACAAAACACAGCACACTATAGCCGCCATACACAGCACGCGCGCAATGCCCGACCGCACGCACTGCGGCATAAAAGAATACATTAGAGAGGGAGAGAGAGAGACAGATGGCAGACAGATGGGCGGACGAACGATGGTCGGCCAGACAGGCAGGCAACCAGATAGACAGATAGACAGGTAAAGGCAGGCAGAGCAGACAATAGAGAAAGAAAGAAATAGAGAACGAGAGAACGACACGAAAAAAAGGGCCGAGATAGAGAAAAGAGAGCAAGGACAGAACTGAGCCAAGCGGGGAATGTGGCGAGGAGAAGAGGAGATAAAGCGAGAGAGTGAGAGGGAAGGTTTCCGAAGAGGGAGAGGGAAAGAGGACGAGAGACGCACGAGAGAGGAGGAGACGAGGAGAGAGAGAGAGTGGAGTCCGAGAGGAGGAAACAGAAGGAAGAGAGAGAGTGAGAAGTAGTATGTTTAGGGTTAGGGTTAGGGTTAGGGTTAGAGTTAGGGTTAGGGTTAGTGTTAGGGTGTAGTACAAGTCTGGTACACTTTGTGTATACATATATGTACCTCGGGTACATATCTGTAGTACCTGTTACGACAACGACCCCTTGAGCGTTAATAACACAGCAACACTTTATTTTGTCTGTGCGGTCACATGCGTGAGTTTGTGTGCATACGTGCATGCATGGATCTATGGGTGTGCATAGGCGTGTGTGTGTGTGCGTGCGTGTCTGATTCGCCGAAAAATGTTTTGTCTTTGCTGGTCTGATCGACATCCTCTGCCGGACGAATGTGCAGAGTCATCGTGACACAGTGTTCCTTAACCCGTTCTGGTGGCCGCGTGAATATCGTCAAGAGCTAATAATACCAGTAGTACAGTGGTATTATCAGTGGTATTAGTGGTATTAGTATCAGTATCAGTGTATACAGTATATCAGTGTATCATATCAGTGTATCATATCAGTGTATCAGTATCAGTGGTATTAGCTCTTGATATCGTCTATATCCTGGGGGAGGTTCACTGTAAGGTCATGTACCATGTCATGCGTGCTGGGGTGCATTTGAGCGTGGTTGCGTGCGTGTGATTCCTCGAAACAAGTTTTATTTATGCTTGCCGATTTATCGATTTCTGCCACATAATCATTGTATATGAAGTTATTGAATCATGGTGACGCAGCAAAATTTATATAGCGTCCTCTCACCTCACCTGTCGCTCTCATGCATGCACTCAATGCCGCCCCGGTATAGCCTGGGGAAATTTATTGTAGGGATGTGTACTACGTAACTCCACAAACCCTGGATATTTTCGCATGCTTGTTAGCGGCCTGTGTTTTATAAACTAAAGTCGATGCACTTAATTAGTATTTATAGTAGATCTAACAAAAACAATGACAAACAGTGCATATCTCGAGCACTTAATAATCTTTTCTGTTCACTGAAGAGCTGGTGATAGTGTGCTGAGTTCATTCGAGAGAGAAAGGGTACGTTGTCTTAGTATCTATCTATGTATCTATGTATCTATCTATCTATCTATCTATCTATCTATCTATCTATCTATCTATCTATCTATCTATCTATCTATCTATCTATCTA